TGGTTTTGTTACATTATACATATGTACTCACTGTTTGTTTACTGTATTGAAAATTCATCATTTGGGAGTGCTGCTGCTCAGAGATATGAACAGAAATTCTTAAGTAGACAGTGGGTTTTGACATTTGGCATGTAAATTAGTTGGAGAATGTTATTATATAAGCAACACTGGTCAACAATGATCTGTCATCTTCTGTTTTAAAATAGCATATTGTATTAATTCAAAGAAGCAAATTGTTTTGGGAGGAGGAGTTGGTTACAATTTCCCCGTGTTTCAGGCTGTTTGAATGATATCTGAGGTTCATTTGGCTTAACTAGAAATATTTTGTTCAGGTTCCCAGCATTTCTTATTCAGAGAAAACCCATACTTTTTACAGTTAGGTTTTTCCATAACTTATTTTTCCACATGATTAATATCAAATAAGTCCCTTTAGAGAAGAAATACTGATCTGAAATAGAACCACAAATTAGGGACATATATGCACACATATCTACAATTCACTAGGTTATTTAGGTGGATTTACCTTCTTTATAATATTTTTAAGACTACTGTATGATCCTGTTGACCTTCTATTAGCAAAAGCTTAGCTTTAAACAGAGGTAGTTAAATTATAAAATAACTGCTGCAATTATCAAACTACTCATAAAAACAAAACAAAATAAAACAAAAATAAACCCACAACCACAAACCCTGAAATAAAAATCTTGCAGGCTTCTCCTCATGTAATATTGCTCCCTGATGTTAATTACATTTAAATGGGAGAGTACTATTTTGGTATCATTCATACGCCTCCAAAAGTACTTTCCAGTTTATCATACCTGTCAACCGCAGTGCATCACAGGCTAATACTTTATTAAGAAAAAAATCATTAGGGAGCTGCTGATCCCATTTAAGTACATTGGGCAGAATGTAAGACTAATTAAAAAGCATATTTTTACATTATTAATTTCTGAGTTTCACACTTAATGAATGTGAAATGACAGGGCTACTATTTTTACATTCAGGCTCTCTGGGCTCTTCAGTCAAGGGAATTAAATTCTGGGGATTTTTGCAAAGATGCTGCTTGGGAGATTTGTTTTCAAGAACAGCTAAGCTTTTTTAGCTGTGTCTTTTTCTGGGAAATTATACCAAAGCATATTACAGCCACTTAAAAAGAGTAGTTAAATAGATGTTGTTGTTGGGTGGGTTTTTTCATCACATTGCTATAAAACTATTTTAGATGAGGTATAAAATATAGTTTTTAAATGATATTATGATTTGCAAACACTAAAAAATAATTGCGGTGGAGTTGAGAGAGAGTGAAAACATGTAATCTTTATTGTGTAAGATAATGTGATAAAATATTTTACAGCCAAAAGCTCATTTTGCATCTGGAAAATTGTGTAAACTGATGAGGGAAAAATCTCATTAAAACTAAAGGTTATTTTTAATATTCTTCCAACAAAGCAACACATTAAAACTACATTTTTCTCACTCAAATTTATTAAATTATACAAATGTATGAATGTCTAACATTCTATTTAAATAAAGACATAAAATGACAGACTGTGTGATTAGGCAGGCTAATCTAAATTTATACCAGCATTTAGAGAATAACAAAGTTAAAAATATGCAAGTGTTATAAAGGTTTGTTTGTTTGTTATGTTCAGTTGCAGCAATGCAGGTGTTATTAAGCTTTAGGTGTTACATTACTTAAAACTTTGCTAGGTTGAATACTGGCACAGCATTCCCTATAAGCACAACATAACACAACACATTTTTATAGGGCTGTGCAAGGAGGAGTGCAGAAAATCTTTTTTTTTCCAAATGTGCTTACAATTACTTCTCTGTATTTTTATTGTCTTTTTACTAACCACAAAACTCACACTGGAGGCAAAGCTTAACTGCTGAGGCTTTCCTCATGTAAATATTAGGAAATTACATTTGTACAAACTGCGGGGCTTTGTAAATGGGGGCTGGATTGACTCCAACGCAAATTAATCAGGATAAAGTTGCTCTATGTTGAACATGACCATAGTTTATTTTCTTAAAGTATTAATTTGTCAACAGCTTTCATGCCTCACTGTGAGTCATGTGGATGGCATTGAAGGAAGACACAGATGCAATCTTTTCTGCTATACCTTGTGATTTTTAGGGACCAATTCCAGTTAATCAAAACATAACCATGCTCAATTTTTTCAATATTTGTTTTCATACAAAACTCTAATATCAAATGACAGAAATGTTACTAAGCATCTGAGTTTAAAAGTTGCTCTCCTTTTTTTAAAGAAAAGTATGAAAACAATTTAACTAGTTGTAAATAATTTGTATTACTTAGCATTTTTAAGTTATTTACAAAATAAATGCGTGCAATTGCTCTTCAGTCAGGTCAGTTTCTTCTTTTTCTTTCTTCTTTTCTTTTAATAGCTATCCTCTATGCTTCTCTTAGTGCTTATGATGTCATCAAATTTTTAATTATATCCTGGTTTTCCTAAAATTATTATTCATTATTATGTTTTTGGAATGCAAAAGTGTAATGGGATCTATTTTTCAGACTTGCCAAAATAAATTAAAGAAAATGTTCAGTTCTTCCTTTGCCAAATGTTTCCGTGGTTTTCCATGAAAGCAAATCTTATTTGTAACTGTATATTAAACCTTAAGTAAATGATGCAGTCTGTCAGGGGCAAATGCTGTTGTACTACTAGGCACTGTTACTAGTTTTTGACACTAATATCTACAAATAACATATATTCATGAATAATTTGATGATAATGCAACTTTCTAATCCCAATGTATCTTTTAAAGAAATATCTAACTTTTTCCACTTATAGTGTCCACAGCATATACAACTATCTCTAACTCAAGATATTCATGGTGGGTGCATCATATCTATTTCAGTAGGTAATGTAGATGACTTAATAGAGATATCATTTAAGAAATGAACCAAAATTAGTCATAGATACTGCAGCTTAATTGAAATACCCACTTCTCTTCTGTTCTTTAACATCTTATATACTAACATACATCCCCAAATAATATTGAAACTCTTCTTATTTTACTAGTATACACTTACCTTGTTCATAGTTTTATTATTCAAGAATGCAGTTGTTGCCAAGTATTAATCAATATATTATGCTGCTCAGTTGGGCAAGCTGTACAAAAACATAGTGCCCCTAGGGTTAATACAGTCAAGAACTAGAAAAGTGTTTTAGACATGTACACAACATGTGGTTTACTATTATCATTAAATGAGGTGAACTGGGACTCTATACATATGGATTTTGAATTGCATAAATTTTGATTGATATCATTTGAAGAACTGAGACCCTGAAAGGCTAGATTTTGTGAAAGACGATACACAGGCCAGCTATTACCACATACAATAATACCAGGAAAAATATCTGAAATGAGCAAGGCAGCTGGCTTTTAAATAGCTAAAACATAACATCAATACTTATACTGAATAATGGAAAAAAGAGGTAAAAGATGTTGACCTCTGCCTGACAATAACATGTTCCAAAAGTAGAACTGGTCCCAGGAGAAACCCCCCTGCTCAACAGTAGCAACTAAGAATTTTCTCTCTCCCCCTCTCTTCTTTCTTCTTCTTCTTCTTCTCTCTCTCTCTCTCTCTCTCTCTCTCTCTCTCTCTCTCTCTTTCTCTCTCTGAAAAAGGTAAATATTTTTTGAACATTAAGCCACTATGGACAACCAGCCAGAAAAAGAATTTTCACAAATTCAGGAAACACTTGAAAGGTAAAACCAACATCCTGAGACAGGAGACAAGGCCAGCTTTTGACACCAGGTTGGACCTATGAGGCCTAAAGAAACCTTCAGTCAGGAAGTGCCTGCCACAGGGGTCAGGACCTCAGGGACTTTGAATGAAGGCAAAAGAGAGCAGAACTTTCCATGCACCATCAAAACCAACAGGCCTTTTCATGGGAAATTTGCTAAAAATTTGCTGATCTGCATTAAACACGTATTATAGTTGGAGAGTAAGAGCCTTTACTTAACTTATTGTAGATTACTGGCTCGTGTAGTTTTAAGTAGTGAATTATAACATATGCAGGAATATGAAAGGTCTCTAAGGCCTTAAATCCATTTTTCCTAACGTGATACACATTGAAAATTATCAATATATCACTCTCTGAGATTCATTCAATTTGCTCATATTTGTTAAAATTTTTTAGAGAGCACTAGATACTTAATGCTTCATTTATGATTTATGCACCATAAATGTATTAAAACATTAACCATATTTCTGCTATGGCATACTTCAATTCTCCCAGGGAAAAGTCAAAATGTTTCTCAGACTGCTACTTTAGTTTCCCAGAAGAGTGAGATTATTTGTGTTGTGTTACACCTTTAAGTGTTGATTAGGCTTTCATGTTACACTGACAGAAGTGTCATGCAGGGCTTCTCTTTAATGGGGTAATAAGCTATATCAGCCACATGAAGGAAATGTTCCTTTTCAAGTCAGAAACAGCAAAAGTTCATATGTAAACATTGTAAAGGTTCCTTCCTCTTAGTGTAAATTGCAGGGCTAAATTCCTGCAGTGCCCTCCCCTAATCAAACACTGTTGACCGTATACTTGGGTGGCTCAGGCAAATTCATAATAGGAGTTTGAACCCTCTAATACATAAGATTGTCACTCCTTCAGAAAAAAATTGTACAGCCAGCTGGGTATACCTCAATTGTTTCACAATCCAAAAGCTTTTCAGACTTTTAAATACGTAAGTAGCTACTAATTGAAAAAGGAAGGTAAAAATTAGACTAATTTTCTGTTTTGTATTTGACAATGTAGGTCATTTTTGCCGGTGTTTATCTTTTTACTGTTTCTTTTTTTCCTTTTGGGGGAGGTTGGAGGAGTTAGTGGTTGGGAAGCTTCACATTTTTCAGCAATCATTATTGAGTAACAATTGGTGCAAACATTATGGAGGGGGAAAGGGACATAAATCAAGAAATAAAAAAAAATAGTTTCTGCACATTTTCAAAAAACACGTTGTGCTCTCTGAGGTCCTTTTCATTTTAACCAAATCAGGGGGAACTTGTCCTCACAGCGGCAAGGCAGATGGAACAATAAATCACAGGAACCATTGACTGCCTGCAGTGTACTCTCCACAGCTGTCACTTTTTTGTCTCTTTGGTTTTAGCTGACATGGTTTGAGGTCCACTGTGAACCAATCTGGACTTTTTTTTTTACAGTCATATCCATCAAAACGACCAGTAGCCATCAACCTACTGCAGCGATCGATTCGTTTGCTTATTCTCACGCATAAGCCAATACTCAGCGCACTAGGTGAGGCTTGGGAGAAGCACCTCATTTTAGCTTTTTTTTTTTTTGCCTCCAGCTACAGCTGTGATTTTCTGAGCATTCGTAGCTAACGTTATTAAAGTTGCATCATGATAGATATAGAGCAAAGCAGATAATAGGCTGTACGTACAACAACAGAAAAATAATAACAACCATGGGTTTTGTTTTTATTCTCAAAGTTGCTTTTTAGGTATACCAAGATGCTTACTAAGCTAGGAATTTCCAACTCATTGCTTATTTTGCAAAGTAAACAAGCAAATGTTATGTGCATAACCTTAGCTGTCTCTCTAAAGGTCAGTATGTGGTTGCTAATTTCTTTTTCTGCCTTTTGGTGGCACTCTGATGCCAGTGATTACTTGTGGTGTATTTTGGAAACAAGACATCCTTTCTTAACAAAAGACTCAATCTACAAAGACTGCAAAATAAAAATTGATTAAATTTGAACTGTAGTATGAAAGTTTACTTTGGTGTATAAAATAGTCTGGTAAACACTAAATACCAGGTCATTTGTAATGTGGGTCAAGGGTTATATTATGCACAATTGTGATTCCATATAAATGTTGGTTTATGGGGATTTTATGTTTTTAGAATCAAACAATACATGCCTCACACACACACACACACACACACAGAGGCACATGTGTATATATAAATTTCTTGGATGTCAAAGCATATGATTTATCCTTTTTCTGAAGCATTTTTAAGTTAAAAAGTATTTTTTACGCTTCTTACAAGTATATTCTTTGGAGCACTGAGTTGTCACAAATTTTATTAGGGTCTGATTGTCAGACCAAATTTTGGAAAACCATGTTTGTAGTATAAATGAGAGCACAGGGTTGAATAGATATACAGTTTTTAAAAAATGTTAAGAAAAACCAAATCAAAACAAAACTCTCTGTTTTAAAAATGTCTAGTTAGGTCAAGTTAAATTTATTATATATAATTTTTTTTTATAGCTGAACTCCAAGATTTTGACTTGAGGTGACAGCTGAAAAGCACCAGAAACCTTTGGAATTTAAGAACTATATATTACTATAAAGGAAGAAAGTTAAGTTTCAGCAATAGAAGGTAGGTAATTGCACTCAGCAAATATATGCAGTTTAAAAAACAAACCCCCCAAACATTTCCCCTTTCTTAAAAAAGAACTATTTCAAGTAAGCAGGAGTTTCCTTTTATATGTACAGAACAAAACAGGGATTTGTAATAAAAACCCAGTTATAAAACATGGTGCCCTTCTTATTAATGAGGATCTTTTGCAGAATACTGAAACATTGCCATCTTGTAGAATAGTTACTTTAGGATCTCACAGTGTGTTTAACTGAAAGCAGCTAACTTATTCTGATCAGCCTTTCTTTACTTCTTTACAGATCTTTGAAGGGTAAGTGTCCTGATAAAATCTCATTATTAGATAAAAGCAGCAAATGGCAAACTATAGGCAAAGCCAGCATAGATTCATGATGATTTCGGAGGACTGTGAGCAATAAACCTTTTATCTAATCTTGAAAAATCCATGAAAGTATCGGTCCAGCCCTAAAACAAGAGAGAGCAAACTTGTGGGAAAAAAGGAATCACAAAAAAGCCATCTGTCTGAATGTGACCCAAGAAATCTAAGTCCACCCATGTAGTTCTTGCATGTTTTTCAGTACTGCTAATGGATTACATACTGTTTAAAATATGAATTGCAGAATAAATCATACGAGAATGACAATTATGAGCCAGATTCTGCTCTCAGCTGCAGTGGAATTACAGACCATGCTTTCTGCTTTCTGCTGCTGCAATGTGTGAATTTAATAATTACTCTAGATTTACATTGGTGTAATTGAGAGCAGAGTTGAGCTCTGTGAATTCAAGAAAAGCATTGTAAGAAGAATATAGCCTATATTTGGTTAGGTCATGCCAGAGTATGGAATGGATTTTCACAAGCCCTTTATGCACCCCTATTAATTCTGTAACAGACACTCCACTATATAACATACATGCCTTAAAATCTACCTTTAAAATAGTCTTGCACTGGGATATGCTAAATATCATGAGCTCCCTTTAGGGGAGACATGAAAAGTTATAAACTGTGAGCCCTATTCTAGATTTGTGTTCAGGAAAAACTCCCATTGAAGTCAATGGAAGTTTTGGCTGACTAAAGATAGCAGGATACACAGGTCCTTGTGTTATAACAATTATATTGAAATATGGAATTTCACTACAGTTACTGTGCCAGTAAAAAATACATAATCGGATAACATCATCCCCATGTGTAAGGTCACTAATTCTGTAGTTTTCTTTTTTCCAAGTGAATTCTAGTATTGAGGAAGTCAGAGGCTATGCTAAAAGGAAGTCACTAGTATGCCTATTGGTGACTTTTCTCCTGTTTGTACACAATTTTTAATTATACATTAACAATTGAAAATGAAAATTTTCTAATTTACCTTCCTTGAAAATCTAATTGTATTGGATACTTATGAAAGCTCAGAGGAAAAGTCCTAAGAGGACGTAGAACTTTATCCTCTGATGCAATATTTACATACAGAACAATGAGTACTCAGTTTTTTGTTCTAAAAATAGCAGCAAATATTTGTTGTTTCTTATAATTCAAAACCCCAGTTCTGCAAGGCTTTATGCATATATTTATTTTTGAGCACTTCAGTTGTCCCACTGAATTCAGTGGTAATGCTGATGTGCCAAGTATTAAGCATGTGCATAAATCTTTGCAGAGCAAGCTTAAGGCTCTATTTAGAGGGCTTGGGGTTTGTTTGGGTTTTTTTAAGAGAAAATATGGTGGGTGTGTCCCAACAAAAATGCCACATATCACTCTAGTTGTATTCCCAGCTGACTGAAATCTGTTTGATGAGTAATTAGGAGACTTTCTCTTTGGTTCATTTGACATACTTTACAAAACATGTAAATCTGTTAAAAATCATGTATGTTTTTATATGCCACCTTTCTTAAGTGATGTGTAGTATCTGCTAAATGCTAGGCTCTTAGAACCTGTTTTTATTAGTCTGAAAACAAACACAAATTACACTGTAATGATTAAAGAAGAATTCTCTCTGTTAACGTAATGTTTATTTGTTTATCAATTTGGTTTGACCAGGAACATTATCTATATTTTTAAAAAATCACAAAGCAATACAAATAGTACATTAATACTGATTGTTTTATTAATTATTGCAAAACAACCCAAATGTATCCTGTTTTAAGTGCTAGTTGAACATTTCAGTGAATAGAAAAAGGGAAGATAAAGTTCCTAATGAAAGGAGAATAGAAGCTAATGCAGAATGAAGCCTTAAAATATTCAAACATGTATTTGAGCTTCATCTTTTTTAAACTTACAAGACCTTATGGTTGTTTATACAGTGTAAGCTACTGATTCAATGTTATTAACAATAATAAACTTGCATTGTTAAAAATGTTTTATTGTACTTAGTTTGATCATTTTTTTTGCGTGAATGGATTTTTCTACTTCAGTTCTTCCATTGGGAAAACAAAAAGTAGCTGTTTTTATTCTGTTTATTTTTTCATGCTATTTAGGCATATCCCTCACAGTTTATTAATGCTCAACCTTACTACATATTTTAAAAAGTCAGGTGCTAGGAGTAATAGTAATATTGACATTTACAAATAGCTGTTATCACTTGTCATAATATGAGTGCCCCAAATGAGGTAGTAGGATTATAAAGACTTGTTAAGACAGACATAAATAATACCTTTTATATGTTAAGATACATCTGGTATATTTAAAAAGAACATCCCTTTTGTAATCACTGATTAGCTACACCTATTGTTTGATGTTGGACATATTCTAGCTTTTTTTAACTTACTGTACTAACTTGTGTAAGAGTATCATTTGCATGTGTGAAACACTTCATTCACTTTGAAACTGCTTCTTACTCATACTTTTTATTATTGAAAAAATGCTGCACCAAACATGAATGGATTGCAAATTATATAAAGGATATATTTAGCTTGTATCAAATATGAGCATTTTCAGAAAGGCCCAAGTATTTTGCTATACTACCTCTTTTTAAAGAATTTCAGATGTCTGTAATTGCTGTTACTTTCCAGTACAGAATAAGGTATCAGTAGCAACTATATTTGAATATCATAAGTAGTGAATTGCTCTAAGCAAAACAAAAACATGTCAGTTGCCCAGGTGACATTTTGTAGCAAACAAGGAAATCACAACTCCAAGAAGTGTTGTATTTTATGCCAACAACAATATGACAGTTTTCTCTGCAAAGAAAACATGACACTTTTCCAAATATCAGAGGATGCCTCCGCTGCTCAAGGGATTCCTGTACTGTCACTGAAATGGAAGGTCACAGGCTGGTTTCATGATTTCTATAGTTTCAAAATGTTGTGGTAGAGTGTTTGCACGCTAAATGCTGTAGGCTAAGGGAAATCTTTCCCTTCATCTCTGAAAGAAGTGACAGGAAGAAAAAGGTCCTACTTTGACAGCAGTAACCTCTAGGTCTAGAGGTTCTGCCCCAAGCAACTCTGAAGTAAAATTACCTATGTTAATATGTTGTCGTTGCTGTCATATATAGAAAACACACGCACACACGTGTGTGTATTGTTAGGTTTATCCCCTAGAAAAGGAGCTATGTATAAACATTGGGCTGTGTCTAGTGCCAGTGCTAGAAAACATTTGAGTTCAGCTTATTCTCAGCTGCTTTAACTAGGTGGGCGTTAGTCTGAGTCAGTGCAAACAGACTCATAAGATAGCACTGCTTCTCTGAGGAGTCTGAAGAAGTCATGGTCACTCTGTCCATGTATTTCTGGAAAACGTATTTGCAAAGGAGAGGGGGAAGTTGTATGTATATAAAATATGTATTCTTTCTCTCCCCCTACACACTCCTACATACATATATTTTATAATGAAAAATTTGAGGCTGGATGTGTGCATACTTATAAGCTGATGAAAATAATAAAGCAATCATTTGTAGAAATGATACTGAATGCTGCGTGCGCTTCATAGTTTAGGTCCTAAATTATTGTCAAGAAAATGTATTTGTAAAGAGCTGTTATATATATGTATATATCAGCTTACATTGTAAGAATTATTTTTTATTTATTTATTCCATGATTTCTCACAGAACCCCTGACGATGGTCTGCAGAACCCCAGGGTTCCATGGAACCCTGGTTGGGAAACACTCGTGTAGGACATAGCTGAACTATGACAAGTGTGCATGTCCTGTTTTTTTCCTGGTCTTCATTTTGCTAAAGAAACAAATGTGTCTAAATTCAATTTATTTTGAGAAGTAGGTTTCCATTTTAACTTTGAGAGGCAGAATGGGCAGAATGCTGCTTGCTATGCTGGCCAATAATTCCTGAAGTTTAAATAAATAGACTCTTGCTTAAAGCCAGAAGAATATTAACTTTGATATGGAGTGAATCGAAACACATTTGTTTCCAGCGTGCCTCCTTCCTCTATTATCCCCCCACACCGAAAAAAATACCCTAGCCCCCAAAACAAAGCAACCAACTTAGTCTATAGATTATATATTTCCTGCTGCCCATTTTATAAGCAATAAGAATTTAATAACTGAGGGCAACTCTATAGTAATATTTATATGGGTCAAGTGGCTTAAAAGTATGCAATAAATGTAAAGTTATGAACCACATTGCCCCTTTTTAAATAATGTAGCTAGCACCAAGATATTATGTTTCATATTCTGGAAAAAGGTGTTTCAGCATAGGCTGTAGGAGTACAACAGACATGAAAAGTTATACTGATCCCATAATAAAGTCACTGCCTGCTTAATATGGTGTGTTATGTAGAGCTCCGGATTTTAATAGCAGACCACAGCAAGAATGTCCCAGATGATATCAACAAAACCTTAGCTTTCTCATTAGCGATCAGGAAATTCTCCTGGTGTCTGCTGGTTTCAAATAAGGGCAAGTGCCTCTATTCCTAGTGTGAAGCCCAATAGGATAATAGAAATAATGTAGTCTAATCAGTGGTGAACACATGAAATCCCACATTCATAACAGGCTGGTGACTACCATTCAGCAACTTTGAACAGTTTCCACAATCCTAAAAAAACAGGTATGGTGCAATGTAAAGGAAGAGAACAAAAATATGAAAATTTCTGCTTTGTTCAGCTACTCCTAAATTCTTTACATGAGCCCTATGGTTGAAAACAGCTTCTTTGTGAAGATACTACTGAAGGAAGCTTCGTCTAAGGCTATTGCATGATATAGCTGAGGAAATGCTGTGTGTGTGTGTGTGCGCACGCGACTGCACGCATTCATGCTTCTGTTTTGGCAGGCTGGTGGGATTCAAAGTACTCAAACTATCTTTCATATTCCAGACCAAACTATTTTGTATTTACCAGACCAAATATTTGTCATCAATATGCTAATAAGCATCCTTTTGGAACAATGTATCCATACCTGAGCTGTTACTTGTGTTTTGTCTTGTGTATGTTAGATTGTAATGGCTTTCTTGTGTTGTTGTAAAGTGCAATGCATATTTACAACACTATGTGAACAAACATAAGAACAACCATTGTTGTTAGAAATTAAAATAAAAGTGTGAAGGACACAGATCTTATTCTGGCTCTTTATTACCACATTTTTTCAGATATGAGGTTTGCATGATGTACAGCTGTGGAATATTGAAAATACACTTGGGTGAAATGCAGGATGATGTTAGGTTCTGTGCCAGTTTTGTATTTCAGATTTTTTCCCATTCTTTATCTGACTTTTCCATGTTAAGAATATCACCAATGCATATTTTTAAATAAATTTTTCATCTTTCAAACATGTTGGATACATCTGAAGAATCCAAACACTACAGATATTCATAAGTAAGGAAATGCAAGTACAACTTGCTATACTGTAAATAAAGAAATAGTTTAAGAGACGCTTGACTATATTTTAAATAACAGATCAGCCTAAAGTTATTACTCAATTATATCTGCATTTACAATACTTTGGAAAAACAGTGTTTAATGGTTTCTGAGGTAATTTCTTACTACACTGAGCTATGTTACATAATAGCAATGATTATTAGATTGACCTACGACTCTCAAAAGGATCTCTCTTATGCTGTATTTTGCATTACTTTAATTTTGGTATAGAGCTTCAATATAGGCATACTAGATTACATTTAAAAAAGTACTGAAAGTCAGGATCCTAAATTTGTATTTGCACATCTTAGTAAGCAGAGTACACCACATATTTGAAAATTATGTTTGTTATTTAGGTGTCTGACTATGTTTTTAAGAGCCTAATTTTAGACTTTTATGTTTAAAATCATGACCTAAATGTTTTATAAGCTTTTGAAGAGTAGACAGTGAATAATAATAAATAGTCCTATGGGAACACTTACAAAAGCCTAAGCTTCTCCCACAATACATTCCACAATTATTAGCATAACCACAGGCGTATGCTATGAGTCCTTATCCCTGTTACCAGGCCTTGCCTAGACAGGAGTTGACATTGATGTAGCTGCACTAGTGCAAATCCTTACTGCATAGGCACAACTTATCCCAGTGTGAAAGTAAGGTAAGTCACTTTTTACATTGGTGCAATATATACTCATTTGGGGTTTATATACAACTATATTGGTGTAATAAATCTTATTGCAGACAAGCCCTCTAAAGTCATGAATAAGACGAGCAAGTGCTAATAGGTCAGTACATCCAGTAAATACTGGAATATGTTTATATTTGCAGATCTAGAGTCCTGTAAACACTTTTAGGTCAGCAAGATATCCTTTCTGATTGGTCACATTTCTGGAATGAATTATGGCAGGTATTGCCTTGCAGCACATAGGAGCATTCATATTTTCAAGTGAGGAGGGGACCAGCTGTATGTTGCATGTAAGAGATAATACCTCCAACAGAACGGCATTATCTGATACTAAGCTGAGGTATTTGGGCTGTTTTGATTCAGAAATAAGACTGACACACATAAATGGAATGTGCCAAACTGCAATACTCCAACTTGACTTTGGCCATCTCCAAGCCAAATGTTGACCTAAAACAGTTTTGCTTAGCTTGTGAGATCTTGACAGCGTCATAGTCCATGGTGGGTTGAAAGGAAATTGCTTTCCTGTGTCCATGTTATGGAAATAATGATATGCACTGCTCTTTACGATGTTCATATGTTGTAATATTACTTGAGAAAAGCTGTATTGGCTTTTATTGTGTGTCTATTATTAATAACAATTGAAAAGAAAAGCCATATAAAGGCAAACTAGTGATGTAAATGTAAATTAACAACAATGGTTTATGCAAGCTTTTAAAAAATGTCCTAGGAACATGCCTGCAAATGGATAATAGGGTGGTTCACTGAGGCTCAGACTGTGTAAGTGCATATTTTTGGCTAATTTTTGTCTGTGTGTGCAAATCCAAACAGAAGCATCTACTAGGGTACAAG